AATAAGTTACAATACAAACATTTTTTTTAATAAAATCTCTTTAAGTTCTTTATGTGGTAGATAAGCAATAAAAATATCGTGAATCTCTGCCAAAACTTGATTTGCTGCATTTCAAAATCTATTTTTGGTGACTTTTTTTTCATAAAATATATTTTGACATATTGACATAACCTTAATTGCAACAACTCATAATTTGAATTTTTTTGAAATAAAAACGTAATTAAAACAGTGGTGAAAGGAAAAAGTATGGAATAGCGCGGTTTAGAATCATAAAAAAATATTTTTTGTTATATGAACTTGAAACTTTAATTAAAACATATTTTTTGTTTCCATTTTTTTTCAACATATTGATTTACAGTATGGTGCTTAAACCAAAGATGTATGTGATAAAAAATAAACAAATTAATAATTAATTGCATTTTTTTTACCTAAAACAATAAATTCCTGAATTTTATTCCTGCAAAAAACTTAAAAATTGGCCGTGACTTTGAAATTCAGTTGGCAATATTGAAGAATTAAAAAAAAAAAAATGCGAAAGCTTTTGATTAGAAATTTAATCAAAAGCTGAAACTTACTTAAATCGAATTGTATGCGATCATCTCATTCAAAAAAATATTTTTTTATTAGTTAGAAATCAATTTTGGTCGTGACAGTAAAAGTATTTTGGGATTTTTTACCGTACGGTTGGTAGTGCTTTAAAAAAATTGTAACTTCTTGATTGATTTGCAAAAAAAATAAACGAATTAATTATTAACTGCATTTTTTGCCTCCGAAACAAAAAAAAATTAATTCTTGATCAATGTAGCTTTGACCTTGAAATTCAGTTGGCAATATTGAAGAATTAAAAAAAATACGAAAGATTTTGATTAGAAATTTGATCAAAAGCTTAAACTTACTTAAATCGAATTGTATGCGATCATCTCATTCAAACAAATAATTTTTTATTAGTTAGAAATCAATTTTGGTCGTGACAGTAAAAGTATTTTGGGATTTTTTCACCCTCAGGTTGGTAGTGCTTTAAAAAAAATTGTAACTTCTTGATTGATTTGCAAAAAAAAATAAACGAATTAATTATTAACTGCATTTTTTGCCTCCGAAACAAACAAAAATAAATTTTTGATTAAGTCAAGTAGCCTTGACCTTGGAATTTAGTTGGCAACATTGAAGAATTAAAGTGCCACAGCTTTCAATTAGAAATTTAATCGTAAGCTTCAACTTACTTAAACCAATTTGTATGTAAGACCCACCAGAATTTACCTTATCTCATTCAAACAAACTATTTTTTACCAATTTTTATGGTTTCTTGGGGTTTTTTCACCGTTAGGTTGGTGTTGATGAAAAAGTTTCAAAAACAATTGCAGATCAAATTTTGTTGACAAGTGTCACAACAGTTGCAATTGCAATGGAATTTGTGAGTATTTTTGCAAAAAAACCGTTTATTATTCATTTTTCTCGTAGCAAACAAGTGGGAATAAGCGTTGGTCACGTTTTCGGTACTATTTATGGCAATTTCTTCTCTTAATAACGATTGCTGTGACTCTCCACTATGGCAAAATGGTGCTTTGGAAACAATTCGATTTTCGGTACAAACCCCAAACTTACTTGGACGTCGTCAACATGCCCGAAATGCAATGCAATAAACTCCTTTTTGAAATCACTCATCTCCGGAAGGAAATAACTGAAATGCGAGCACAGTTTGAGGAAATTCACTCGTGGAAAGTCGACTTTGAGGGAAATTGCAAAGAAAACTTGAACCAAGCGTTCGATCGCTTCCACTCGGACAAAATCGGGATTTTTGGTACTTTTCCTTTGAAATTACCATCCCTTAACCCCAAATTCCCCCAGACTATGCCTCCGAGTACGCCGGAGGCTCCATTATCTCAACCCCCGAGACCACCCCCCTGCCCTCGCGCTTCGGTCTGCGTTTTTTCGGCACCATTGATTGGGTGGGCCACTCCGACCCCGGAATTCTCCTCCAACCAAACACATTTCCGGGGAAATGTTTCGCCTTTTACGGGGACAAAGCCCGGATTCGTGTACGACTAGGTCGCCCGATTGTCATCACCCACGTCAGTTTGGAACACATGCGGATCGGGGGGGAAACCCCGACGAGTGCCCCTAGGGATTTCGAAATTTGGGTTGGTAGCACTTGTATTTGATTGAAATAATTTGACGTTTCAGGCTTTGGGTGAGAGGGGTGAGGAGAGCTTGGGGCGGTATGTTTACGATCTAGATGATTCGATTATTCAGACTTTTCGGGTGATTGAGAAGAATCAGACGTTTCGAAACGTGGAATTGCGCATCCTCAGTAATCACGGTAACGCTGAATCGACGTGTGTTTACCGATTCAGGGTTCATTCTGTGGATAGTTGGCATTGAAACATTCACTTGTTACGTCATCACTAGTGTGAAGTTAGCCGAGTGAAATTCGACCTTAAATGTAGTGTCAATAAAGAATAACATAATTAAAGATGACGTCATGCTAAATATACATAACGCATCTGTCCATGTACTAATTTTTATTATGTTTATGTTAAAACCGTTGGAATTTTGTTTTGTTTGATCATAAAATTGTGTTTTGTGTCCATGACTAGTGTGTTGAACATTCCTTAAGGTAAATAAAAAAAGGGTTTGGTGTGTTCGAAAATAGAATTGGGTATTTTTATCCCATCCGGTAGGAGACGTGCATTCGAGTTGTCTTCAGTCTGGAAATAATGGAGTTGAGGTCGAGATCCAGGTCCAAGACGCCGTTTCAGACGCAGAATTTTATCGAAGAGGAAGCCTTCGAAGGGCAGAATCATGTGACAAGATCGACGAGACGTTCAGTCAGGTGAAAAACAACGTCTTCCCAAAGTTTTAATTACAGATTTTAATTTTAGAACAATGGTGACGACTACTGGTGGCAGCGAGTATTATGAAAGTGTGACTAAAAGGCCAGTGAAGAGCAAAAGTACAAAATCGACACGTTCAATATTCAAGACTTCTGATTATTCATCAGAGGAAGGGGAATTTGATTCGCATTCCCACATTTCCGAAAATGATAAAAATCAGATTATTGAAGATGCAAGAAAGGCAGCTAATGGCACCGCGGAGATCTCAGCGTTGAATTTGTACAGGAAAGCGGGGCGATATTGGGAGTATGTTGAGTTTTTATCATAAAATTGACATTTTGACGTCAACCTAACCTCACTTGTGACAACTCAGAATATTCTGACATAAAAAAAAAACGATTTGAAAAGTAGTAAAGCGGAAGAAGAGTAATTACGCAGTTTAGAAATATAAAAAATTCACTTTAGTTAAATGAGACAATTTTTTTGGGGACCCAATTTTTCGAAATAAAATCTCTTTGAGTGGTCTGGCTGATAGATAAATGGTAAAAATATTGTGCAAGTGTGACAAAACTTGATTTGTAACGACTCAAAATCTGTTTTAGTTGATTTTTTATCATAAAATTTATTTTGACATTTTGACGTAACCTCAATTGCGACAACTCAGATTTTAAATTTTTTGAATTAAAAACGTAATCGGAACAGTGGTAAAAGGAAAAAATAAAGACTTACGCAGTTTAGATTAACAAAAAATGATTTTTTTTTGTTATATGAAACTTGAAACTTTAATTAAAACATATTTTTCGTGCCCATTTTTTAAAAAATAAAATCTCGTTTGTATGGTAGATAAGCAGTAAAAATATCGAGCAAGTTTACCAAAACTAGATTTGTAATAAGTCAAAATCTGTTTTTTTTACTTTTTTATCATAAAATTTACGTATTTTGACAATTTGCCGTAACCTTAATTGCAACTCACAATTTTTGACATTACAATAGTGGTAAAAGGAAAAAAATAAGAAATAAGGCAAATTAGAATAATAAAAAATTGATTATTTTGTTATATGAGACTTGAAATTCTAGTTAAAATATATTTTATGTTCCTATGTTTTTTTTATAAAATCTTTTCAAGTTTTTTGTATGGTGGATAAATAGTAAAAATGACGTGTACATTTGCTAAAATTGATACATAATAAGTCAAAATTATTGATTTTTTTAACCTAAAATTTATTTTGACAATTTGACGTAACCTTAATTACAACTCACAATTTGAATTTTGTAAAATAAAAACGTTATCAGAATAGCAGTAAAAGAGAGAAAGTTTAGAATCACAAAAAATTGTTGTTTTTTTTTTGTTGAATGAGACTTGAAACTATTTAAAACATACTTTTTTGGCCTACTCCTTCATTTTTTTTTTAATAAAATCTCTTATAATATAATATTGTGGAAGTTTACCAAAACTTGATTTGTAACACCTCAAAATCCGTTTTTGATGACTTTTTTTTTGAAATAAAAACATAATCAGAAGAGTGTCAAAGTGAAAAAATAAGGTTGAGTATCACAAAGAAATTGATTTTTTTGTTATATGAAACTTGAAACTCTAGTTAAAACTAATTTTTTTATCATAAAATTTATTTTGACATTTTGACGTAACCTTAATTATGACAATTCATAATTTGAGTTTTTTGAAATAAAAACGTATTTAGAACAGCGGTGAAAGGAAAAAAGTAACGAATTACGAAGTTTAGAATCATAAAAAATGGGTTTTTTTGTTATACGAGACTTGAAATTTTAATTAAAACATATTTTTTGTTCCCATTTTTTTAAAATAAAATCTCTTCAAGTTTTTGTGCGATAGAAAAGGAGTAAAATATCGTGCAAGTTTGCCACAATTTGATTTGTAACAACTCAAAATCTGGTTTTATTGACTTTTTTGTTATAAAATATATGTATTTTGACATTTTGACGTAACCTCAATTGTGACAACTTAGAATTTGAATTTTTTTTTAATAAATACGTAATCAGAACAGTGGCAAGGTAAAAAATAAGGTCGAGAGTCACAAAGAAATTGATTTTTTTGTTATATGAAACTTGAAACTCTAGTTAAAACATATTTTTATCATAAAATTTATTTTGACATTTTGACCTAACCTTAATTGTGGCAACTCAGAATTTGAATTTTTTTTAATAAAAAACGTGATGAGAACAATGTTAAAAGGAAAGAGTAAGTAAATACGCAGTTTAGAAACTTAAAAACATGATTTGTGTTATATGACACTTCAAACTCTAGTTAAAACTTTTTTGAGCACATTTTTTTTTAAACAAAATCTCTTCAGGTTGTCTGCGTGTTAAAAAAAGTGGTAAATAATATGCAAGCTTATTAAAATATGATTTGAACAACTAAAATTTTTTTTTGTTGACTTTTTTTGATAAAATGTGCCATTTTGTTGTAAACCTAACCTCAATTGTGACAATTCAGAATTTAAATTTTTTGAATAAAAACGTGATCAGAAGTGGTAAAGTGAGTAATTAGGTGATTTTAGACACTTAAGAAGTTAATTTTCATTATTTGAGACGTAAAAGTCTAGTTGAAACATTTTTTGGTCCCACTTTTTGCCCAATTTTTTACAAATCTTGTAAGCTTACCAAAATTTGCTTTATAATTTAAAATTTGTGTTTCTTTCGCAGTATATATCCCAAAACCGATTACACCTATTCTCGCCACTCTCGCGACCGCGTGGAACTCGCCCCCGGAGTGGTCCAAATGCCCAACATGTCCCGCAGGACCATCCACTCGGACTCCAGCACCAACACCGAATCCTACCAATCGTCGTCGCCCCTCATCAAACAAAGACTGTTTTCATCACCAAACAACAACGACGAAATCGACGAAAGCTACAAAATAACCCGAGCCTCCACACGAAGACACTCAATAATCACTTCAGTCTTCACCGCAATATACACAATGGTGTTTTGGGGCTTCTCCTCCGTGTCGGGGGCCTCGATTTACTTGGGGACGAAACTCCACCATCTGGCGAGCCGAATCATGCTGTTTGACACGTGGCTGCTGCGGAAATCCGCCCCCAGGAAGACCAGGGCTGTGGTGGCTTTGTGTCTGCTCCCCCTTGTGGTGTTCGGAGGTGAGTTGTGGCGGTTTTGACAGAATGGTTGATTTATCAATGATTTTTGTCATTGATTAATTAATTATTCTTGACGATGCAGTTATCGATGGGTGGTATTTCAGGTTTACATGTCTTGTTGGCTAATGGCGGCTCCCTCGCCCCTTGGTGCCACCCTCACTGCGGACGTTACATTTCTAGTTACTATAACTCATTCATAAATGCAGCATCGAACATGTTTCGATAAAAAATGTGGCTTTTTAACAATTGTGTGAAGAGTTGAAGCTTGTTTCTTACTCTCAGATAGTTTGTCCATTTTTTTTTTCTTTCGTTTTGTGTGGTGTTGACACAATTAACATAGTCTTAGTTGTTTTTTCATTCATTTTGATTTTTTTTTATTAACTTTCATAGTTTATTATAACTCGGTGTTGTAACTATTTTATATTGTTGCTTAAATTATATTAATAAAATAATAATCTAGTACATGCTTTTTTCCTTTTGTTGTTTGTTAGCGAGGTGGTTTTAAGGGGTGAGGGTCAGGTCAGGTCAATTGTTCGAATATTTTATTTAAAAAAAGTTAAAAAAATGACCCTGTTGAGTAGTTTTCTAGCTTAGCATTCCATAAACTAACTTTTCATGCTTTTGCTTTAAATTTACAAATGATTCAATTAAATTGACTCGAACTAGTTTCAAAACAATCGAAATAAACATAGTGATTAAATCTAGTTTAAAAAAGAATTTTTATTAAAAAATATCAGATTTTTGTCTAATTCTGTTTTTTTTTGGCCTATTTTTGATTTCATTTTGCTCAAAAACCAGTTAAATGGGGCTGAAAATTTTTGAAAATTCACTGTAAAGCAGGCTTTAACGTCAAATTTGACTTTTCAAAACGTCAAAATGACAGGAACATCAATGTGACAAGTTCAAAGTTAGGTTATTATCTAAGGACCCTTTCACAACATATAATCAGTGTTGCCATTAAAAAAAAATCACCAGGTCAGAGTTGAAAATTGCTAATTTATACCTATTTTCAGAGATTACAAGATTACGATTTAAATCTTTCCAATAGTGCCAGAAAGTTTACGGTTTTTTATGCAAACTGACTGGTTAAAGCCTAAGAGTTAGGTAAAAATTGAATATAAAACAATTTAGTGATTTTTGTCAAAAAAATCTCTAAAAAAATTGGCTTAAACTCTCGTTTTCTGTGATATTTAGGCTTGTTTTTAACAACATTTTGCGAACTAATTGCGTTTCTAGCTGAAAAAAGTGTTAAAACACTCAAAAAATGCTACGGGAAATTAATGTTCGATTTAAATTACTGATTTTTTGGTTTGACTGAAATTTTGAAAAAAAACAGAATTTTAGTACAAAAATTAAGCATTTCTGACCACATTTTGTGTTTTTGCGGCGTATTTTTGGCTTAATTGTGCTCAAAAACTAGTTAAATGAGCGAAACAAAATCAAATTCTATTTATTTTTCTATTTTTTTTTTCAACCTTTCTATTCGAATTTGATTTAAAAAATATGTTTAAACACTTTAAAAGACAAAAATAGCTCACTTTTTGTCTTGTTTTTAACAAAATTTTACGAAATAATTGCGTTTCTAGCTGAAAAACGTGCTAAAACGCTCATGAAATGTAAGAATAAATTAATATTCGATTTAATTCATTGATGTTTTGGTTTGTTTGAGTGAAATCTTGCGAAAAAACAAAATTTTAGTACAAAAACGAAGCATTTTTGACCAAATTTTGTGTTTTTGCGGCGTATTTTTGGCTTAATTGTGCTCAAAAACCAGTTAAATGGAGCGAAATAAGGGAAACATCAATTTTATTTTTGTGCTTTTTCAGATTTTTATACGAAATTTCTAAAAAATGTGCTTAAACACTTGAAAAGGCAAAAATAACAGTTTTAGGCTTGTTTTTAACGAAAATTTGCGAAATAATTTTGTTTTTAGCTGAAAAATCATTCAAAAAAAGCAATATTTTTGTCCGTACTTATCAAAACTAGAACCTTTTTTGACTTGTTTGGTGATTTTTCGATTTATTTTTGGGAGAATTTGACGAAATAGTCAAGTCTCTGGTTAAAAAACGTGGAAAATCATTGAAAAACATGTAAGAAGTGTATTATTTTTTTATGCAAACTATATCAATATTTGAAAAATTAGTATTTCAATTTTTTTGTTTGAATTTATGCAAAAATTTTTATCAAATACTTTGTACTTGGCAACACTGTCTAGGAGAAAGTGGCTGACTTTTTGGTCAACTGTCATAATACTGTCAAAATTTGACGTTTCTGACTGGCGAATTAATATTTTTGGTTAAGTTTTCTCATTTTATTTCACATTGGCAATACTGATTTTCTCCTATTAAAAAAATATGAAAAAAATGTTTAAAAATATTTCAGTATTTTTGTTTTGGAAGTAGTCCGATTTTTGCTCCGAATTTTTCTTAAAAGAATCTGAAATTAAATTACAGGGTGCATGTTTTTGAAACAAAATCGCGTCTAAAAATGTGGTAAGTTAAGTGTATTGGTGTAAAAATGGAATTTTTTCTTGCTTCCTAAATCAAAAATCACATTTCATAAAAACATTTCAATCTAATTACGACTCATTGTAAACTGCAAGCCTTCTCGAAAAAATCCTCTTCAAAGCAGTTGATTAAAACTATTTGCAGCTTGGTTTTTACTGTCGTCACTAGGCAGTGCCATCTATTGGTCGTTTATGAACAGTACTTCCACTCCTGTCGAACAAAAAGTAGTAGCAGAAAAAATAATAAGTGCACCTCCTGTACCCAATCAAATAAACACAGATGAAATAGTCGAAAAAGTTCTCCAAAATCCAAGAATCTACAACATTGTTAATAATTACTACAAAGGGCAAGAATCTGATGCAAAGCTCCACGACATAATTGAGGAACTCCGTCTCGAAATTGATCGAATTAAAGAGAACCAAAACGCCGATTTGGGCCGAATCATCGCCCAAATTCGTACCGAAAACGTCCGAAATCTGGCTCGACTAACCCAAAAACTGAACCGTTGTTGCAGCCACCAAATCATCGATTTGGAACCTCACATAACTCGCGTTTTTGCAAACTTACTCAACGATCCTCACTTCCTCTCAAACCAGAACGGTTTAACCGACTGGTTACACACCCTCTTTGTCGCGAAAACCACCCTCGAAAACCGGTTACTTAACCTAACCCAAAACTTTGACGTTTCCGACACAGCCAATCAGGTGATGGAAAAAGTGGTGGCGAAGTTATCCGATCACAAGTTCGATTCGAGTTCGGTTAGCGAAACCCAAATCGGGAAAATCGTCCAATCAGCGTTGAGGATTTACGACGCTGATAGAACGGGATTGGTGGATTACGCGATGGAGCCTTTGGGTGGGGAGATTGTGACTACTAGATGCACTGAGAGTTACCATTCGGGTACTGCGGTTATTTCGGTTCTTGGGATTCCGGTTTGGTACCCGTTGATTTCTCCCCGGATTGTCATCACGCCGGGCATAAATCCGGGCGAGTGTTGGGCTTTCCAGAATTTTCCGGGTTTTTTGGTCATCAAGTTGGCGTCAAGGGTGAAAATCGAGGCGTTTTCCATGGAACATGTTAGTAGGTTGTTGGTACCTGAGGGTAAAATCGATTCGGCGCCTAAGGAGTTTGAGGTTTTTGGGTTGAATGGAGAGAATGATAAAGATCCGGTTTGGTTAGGGGAGTTTGTTTATGATTATGATGGTGATGCGTTGCAGTTTTTTACGGTTAGGGAACCAAAAGTGTTTTCTATGATCGAAATCAGGATTAAATCGAATCATGGTAATCCCAATTACACTTGTTTGTACAGGTTTAGGGTCCACGGGAAGGTTAGTAATGAACCCACGTAGGTTATAACCGATTTTTTCGTACATCATGTGTTCATTATTAATTTATTTCGAGTACTGTTGTAAATACCTCGTTTATTTTCGTTTCTTGTCGTCTTTTTAGTACTTACATGTGTTTTAAATCTCATTCTTTTTAATTCGTTTTCATTTTGTTTTTGTATTAATAATGAAAGTCTGTGATTGGTCTACACTATGTAATTAAGTACAAAAATTTATGTTGTAATTGTAGGTACTAATGGAAATAATAAGTTGCCTTATGCAAGTTTGCAACCTAATCTTAGTCACGTGTCAGTCACTAGTTTTAGGGTCTAACATTTATTTTAAGGGTCACCAAGCACGCTCATTTGTATTTTCGTACATGAATAAAGTTTTTGTTACGATTTTTGGGCAGTTTATTTTTGATTGGCACTGTAAATAGAACTGTCAAAAATTGACGTTTCTGATTGGCGAATTTAAATTTTTGGTTAAATTTTCTCAATTTTTTGACATTGGCACTACTGATTTCTCCTATGAAAAAATTGCTTAAAAACATTTCAGTATAACTTGGTATAGATTTTTGCAGTTGAGTTTATTATTATTTTTTTTGAGTTTAACATTTATTTTAAAGGTCACCAAGTAACGAAGTAGTCGTTGTAAGAGATCATTTCAAGGTGGCAACCCTGCGAAAATTCAAACAATCTTAACCTCAATCTTCCCTAAAAAGTATTTTTTCCAATAAATGTGTACCCCAGGAAGCAAAGAATAATTGAAATTAACAATGTGCAAATTGTTGTGATTAAATTTGGGTAAATTTTTACTTTAGCTCCTTCTGGAATTAATTTTTTTTTTGCAAATTGCTTTAAAAAGCCTCTAGATTGAAGATATGACCTTGAAAGTTTGTGCAAATGTCTCGTTTTCGAATTAATGACCTTGACACCAAAAAAATCTAAATTTTTGTTTTGAATTTTGCTTTAAGAAACCTGTAGATTAAAGGTATGACCTTGAAACTTGGTTCAAATGCCTCACTTCAAAAGTAATGACCTTGAATATTACAAATGTCAAAATTTTTAATTTTTTTTCTTGCATTTTGCTTAAAAAAGCATCTGGATTGAAGGTATGACCTTGAAAGTTATATTAATTGTGTTGCCATTTGGTCATACATAAAATGGGGCCGTAAAATTTGTTTTGAATGACATTAATGACACTTTTTGTGTGAATCGGCCTTTAAATTAAAGATACATTTAGACTCCTACAACCTACATTAATATGAAAAAGGGATTATTTTCGTATATGAATAAAATTTTTTATTACTATTTCACGACTGGCAGGGGAATTACTATAAATAATGAAAACAAAACGGTGGTTTACGAGTCATGACCTCTTTATCTCTTATTTATTTCATCACGTTTCGGGAAACCCAGGTAAAGTACCTTTTCCTCCCAAGACAATATAAAAGCAAACCCGAGCCCCCTTGGATCAGTACGAGCAAAACCGCAAAATGAAGCTAATCATCATTGCTTTGGTTGCCCTTTTGTGCATCTTTGAAGCCACCACAGCTTTTCCTACAGATGGAGGTAAGAGCCGATTTTGGAAATTGATTCGATTTTGAGCCTTATTAATCATTACAGAGCACGTGCGGGTCAAACGCTTCACTTGTGATGTCCTTAGCGCCGAAGGGGGCTTCCGGGGCGTCTCCATCAAGCTCAACCATGCCGCATGTGCCGCCCATTGCCTCTATTTGAAGAAACGCGGGGGATATTGTAACAACAAAGCCGTCTGTGTTTGTCGCAACTGAGTTTTTATCTCCCTATTCAAATAAATTATGATTTTTTTTGCGCATTATTCGCATTATTATTTTTTAAGGTTGGTAGTAGTCGACATACATACGCACATGCGTGTATGTGTAGTTGCATAAGCTTCAAGGTTTGAAATCTTGTTTATGGCAATTAAAACAAAATTCATCAAATTTTTATATTAGTTTTAGAAGTATTATTAAAATTATTAAATTTCAATTATTAGTATAAAAGATTTAGTATTTTTTCTCACAATAAATGGCGTATTACTGGTTGCATACGCTCCCGATAAAATTGTTTGTTGGGGGCTAAGTGATTGTGGTTATCAAAACAAATTTTTAATTTACAATTCTTATTTTTTTGTATTCGCACAGTAATCACGAAAGTTTGTAACTTAACCTAGTGGTACTGTAGTTTTGGTAAATATAGTGCACTTTCTTTGTTTACTTTTAGGTTAGTTTTTTAAACAATACCATGGATGACTTCGTTTCTTGCCCTTTTAACCCCTTGCACCGTATGCTCAAAGTCAACTTACAACACCACATTATTAAATGTATGAAGAACTACCCGGACTATGTGCCTTGCATATACAACGCAATGCATAGATTCCCCAATAAAGAAAAAATGATTGAGCACATTGCAACATGCCCCTCACAAAAACTGGCTATTAGTGATGGAAATACGCCACGAAGGGCGAATACCGCAGCCGCCCCAAATTCACTCCACGAAGGGAGAAAGTTTCACACGGACGAGGAAAATTGGAACGTTGAATACGTTTAAGGAGACAACTTAAATTTTAATGTATATAAGTGAAGTTTTTTTATACAATTGCGAAACGGATTTTCGGACAATTTGACATTCAACTGACAAAAATGTAAAACGGCCTTTATGCAACTAACCTCACTTTTAGTTTTTGTCCTGACAGCTGGAGAAAAAATGACAACAAATCAAATTAATTCATTAGACTTAGATAAAGACACGTTGTTTCGTAAAACTGACGCCAAAAAAAAAACTTCAACTAAAACTTTCAAATTTCAAATGTCAATCATAATGACAATAAAGCGTGGCTTACATTGACATTTTTTGAATGGACATGTCCAAAATCCGCTATTGAATTAATAATACCTTAGAATATGAGTTTATTCATTTAATCTTGTTTGTAAATTTATGGACACAAATGAATTTGATTTTAAATTGTCAAAATATAGGAAGTGCAGCCAACTGAAGTTGTTTAGCATTAATAATCCCCAGAATTGAAGTTATCTCATCTGAACAATGGTTGTGAAATGTCGAAAGTGGGGTTTCAGGTGTGTAAACCTCGAATGGGATTAATGGGTTAATTTCCCTCATTGTTGGTAATAAATCGCAAAGTGGGGAAATTGCGTTTTTAAGGTCACGTCACCTGTCACGCATGCGTCCTTTCCATTGACATCTGTCAGCGGGAAAGTGCGACGTGGTGCATCTCAGGTGCGAAAAATGCCCCAAGAACACGTCCTAACGCTTAGAAACCTCCTTATTTTTGTTCCGGCGTAGCTATGCATCACTAAAACAGTCACTTTTCCCTCAAATTCCCCTCAGTTTTTGACATTATCGGTTGATCTGTGATAGTGTTGTTATTGTGATGTGTAGTGTTAGTTGATTCTTCCAACATGTTTCACGGTAAACTGCGGATACACACCTGCCGGGTGATCCTCTTGACGTCTCTGGTCTGGTTCTTGGTGGACGTCGTCATCTTGTCGTTTTACTCCGAGTGTTTGGGGGGCTCGTGCAAGAAGCAGCCCCAGAGCGCGGAATTGAGTTACGACGATGAGTACGACGCGAAAGACAAGATCGAGGGGGCTGTCGGTGTGAGTCATAGGTGAGTGGTGGGCGGTTTGGGGGTGTTTTGCTTGATTGTGGGGTTGCAGCATTGGGGTCCAATCTACGTATAAACAGACGGAGTTGAGGCGGTGGCGGCCGGCGCCGACGGTCGTTCCAGCACACGGGCTTCCAGGGGAGATGGGCAAGGCGGTGCATATCCCCCCAGAACAGGAGGGGCTCATGAAGGAGAAGTTTAAACTCAATCAGTTTAATCTTTTGGCCAGCGATATGATTTCGCTGAATCGGTCCTTGGCCGATGTCAGGCTTGAAGGGTGAGTGCGAAAATGGGACGGGTTTGGGGGTTGTATTCATAAAATACGACAATTTTATTGCTAATTAATTTATTTCTTGATAATTGTTTCCACGATTTTGTTAAACTATAGCTCCAGGAATTCAATAATTTCTTGAATGTTTTTTTATTTAATTTTAAAATTATTGCTTTCGTTAAATTGGTGAAATTTTAAATGAACTTTCACCTTTTAGCCTCATATTACTAATTTGAACATTGGTGGAAATATTTTAGTAAATATTTATTCGGTGTTTGGTACCTTTCAAAATTTTTTTTTTGTTTTGACAATTTCGACTAGACTAAATTTTGACAAATATCGAAAAATTTGAAATCTCTAAAATTCAACCAAATGCACTCCTAGAGGTCCAAGAGACTTAGAAAAGTGCAAAACTGTTGTAATATATTTAGAAATGTCTATAAAACGTTGAGTTAAAAAAAGTCGTTTTTTTTGAGTTTTCATAATTGTTTTGCAAAAATGATCGAAGAACTTTTTATCGCAAAAACGCTTAAAATATGGTTATCTAGACGTAAAATTATGCACTGAACACGATGTAACAAGTTAAAATACTCTACGATGCATAGTTTTTGAGATATTGAGTAATAATAATAGCTTTTGACCTAGGACTCTTAGTTTTTGAAATATTCCTTTTTTTTTTTATTTTGTAAATTGCGGCAAAACTATCTCAATGATATAATATTTTGATGTAAACCTATGTAAAATGTTCCGGGGAATCGATTGGCGCCAAGAAAACTGCAAAATTTCTAATAGTTTTGAAGTTAAAAACGGATTTATATTTTTGATATTTTTGACTTTATCAGAAATTTTCTCGATAATTATTCATCGTAGAGCACTGAACTTTTTAATATATGATAGAAAATTCAATTTTCTATCCAACGGTACCAAATATAAGAGGTTATCTCTAATAAGTCCGGAGTTATTGCCATTAGACCGCTCCGGGTGCCAAAAATCGAACAAAATCTCGACAAAAATCAAAAAATTTTCATCTTTAAAATTGATCTATTTAACTTTTTTTACATTTCTAGAGGTCTTAAAGACTCAAATAAGTGCATAAAACGCCATTGGGTCAAGTTTCAAAAATTTAGAATTTTTTGAATTTTTGAAGATGAGCGGTAGTAAAATCGTAAAAATAGTCATTTTAGTAAAAGTCGTAAAAACGCTTGAAATATGGTTTTCTAGACGTAAAATTACTCGCTGAACACGATTCAACTAGTTAGAATACTCTACGATGCATAGTTTTTGAGATATTGAGTAATAAAGTTAAGAATAAGGCTAAAAGTAAAACCACTATATCCGATTTTGACCAAAAATCAACATTTTTTGATTCTTATGAAAAACTAGTACTATATGTAAAATTAACCGGAGAACACGCCTGTATAAACCCTGTTGACCTAAGACTCATAGTTTTTGAGATATTAATTTTTTTTTGAAAAAACTAAAAATGGCTCTGTACCCGGAACCTTAACCCGGAGCGACTTCCGGTTTGCGCCAATAAATAGATAATGTTAATCTAATTTTAATGGTTTTTAGCTCTTTGCTCTAAATCTTATAGTTTCGTAGAAAAACGCGTTTAAAGTTTCACAATTTTTACAATTTTCACTTTTTGAACGGCGATTACGGCCAAACTATMAGACTTAGAGCAATCAGTCCAACTCCATCGTAATCAGCGTAAGAAAATCTATCGACTGAGGCCAAAGCCAAGTCGATATCTCGCAAAAAAAATTTGAATTTTTAAACGCCGATTACGGCGAAACTAAAGGAGATAGCCCAATGTGGTTGGTAAATTCGTAADTAGCGCGTCAAAATCTATCGGATAAGATAGGTTTAAATCGAATCTGAGACATGTTCAAAAACACTAGATTTTAAAGGGGGGGGTGTTAACAAATTTTTAGTTTTTTTTGTTTTGTAAATTGCGGCAAAACTGAGTCTCAATGACATAATATTTTGACCTATACCTATGTAAAATGTTCCGGGGAATCGATTGGCGTCAATTAAACTGCAAAATTCGTAGTAGTTTTGAAGTTATAGTCGGATTTAAATTCTCGATATTTTTCACTTTATCAGAAATTTTCTCGATAACTATTCATCGTAGAGCACTGAAATTTTTAATATATAATAGAAAATTAAATTTTCTATCCAACGGTACCAAATATAAGAGGWTATCTCTAATAAGTCCGGAGTTATTGCCATTAGACCGCTCCGGGTGCAAAAAATCGACCAAAATCTCGGCAAAAATCAAAAAAATTTTCAACCTTAAAATTCTTCCTTATAACGTTTTTTACATTTCTAGAAATCTTAAAGACCCAAAAAAGTGCATAAAATGTTATTGGGTCAAGTTTCAAAAATTTTGAATTTTTGGTATTTTTCAAGGGGAACGGTAATAAAATCGTAAAAATAGACAAAAAAAAAAACAACTTTAAAATTGGTTGTATATCGTTTTTTACATTTCTAGAGGTTATTTTTTCTAACATCTTTGAATGTTAAATGCAGTTATTGAATGCTGAATATAATTTTTAATACGTCTAACATATGATTGAAATGATGCAATAAAATGGTTGTTTGCGCCAAAGTAGCACGGATGCGAAGATCAGGAAACGATTTGTTCCTAATGTTATTGCAATTTAAGTGACTGAAATAGAAATTTTGAAATTTCAAAAATCAATTTACAAAAATTCCAATATTTATTAGATAAGTAGAAATGTTACGCAACTGTATGTAAAGTAGCTTGACATTTGTTTAAAAACATATGGTTCGTCAATGCACGAAAGAAGAATGATTATTATTTTTCTCCGTTTGAAAACATTTCGCCAAAAAGCACTTATTTTAAATGGAACATCGACAAGGCCATCGTTGAATTAAAAAAGATGTGCAATTCGTCCGGAAATTGCAATTTCTTTTCATCGACCTTGACAAGTTTTGTGTACTTTCACTCTTGTTATTTCGTTTGTTTCAATTTCAGATGTAAGGATAAGAAATACCCAAAACTGCTTCCAACTACTTCGATCGTCATTGTTTTCCATAATGAAGCATGGTCGACGTTGTTGAGGACCGTTTGGAGTGTCATTAATAGGTCTCCGAGGCCCTTACTCAAGGAAATTATTCTAGTGGATGATGCGAGTGAGAGAGGTAAATATACACATTTGCGCTATTTTCGTCAATAGAATCCGTGATGATGTCAGCAGGAAAACCACGATCGGAGATATACTTAGAACGCCCATTTGTTATACACGGTGAAAAAATAAAATTGATTTATTTTAAAAATGAAATTGACATTTCGTTTAAGGAAATTAAGTTTTTATAATCACTATGCGTAAGCGTGGGATTTGACTAATAGTCCGGTCAAAATAAACATTTTAAATAACTAAAATTCCGACAGAGCTAAATTTTGGTGGAGATATTGAGTACACCATTAGGAATAAAGTGTCAAAAGTCCCCATCGATCCCATGTGTGCTAAAAAAGTTATTCGGGGTCAAATGTCAAAACTTGACGTTTTTTAGATTTTTTTCGAAAACGGTAAGTTTTATCAAAAAAGTAGCCCAGTCAAAAAATATAGATCTTGAAATTATCTACAAAATGGTCCTTATGCTTTTTTTCTAACAATCACCATTCCTGAGATATCGCGATTCTAAAAGTTGAAGGAGTCACGTTCTACATGGTATGCACATACAGAGTGCGTCAGAACTCCCGCTTCAAAGACAAATGCCATGTAGGGTAAGGTACCACAAACATAGAAAAAATTAAAAAAAAAATCTATCT